TGCTCCCCATTAGTTACCATTCCCCAGTCCTGAATTACAAAAACAGTATTTGCAACATGATATTGAATGCTATCTTTCATCTTTTGCCTACTAATTACCCAATCAATATACAAATACTTCAAAAGTAGCCACAGCATAAGCTGCCTCTTCCCGAGCTCATAATCAGAAAATATGGAAAAGAGGCAAGAGGAACCCTGAAGTACTGTGAAAGTAAGAAGTCACCAGAGGACAAGGGATAATGGCCAGCTACATTAACATCGATGAGGCGGAAGGACACAGGTAACAGGCCTGCAGAAAACCACATCCTAGGTTCCTTTATTCACATGGCTGATTGTTTCGAACAAGGACTAAATAAAGTCAGCTAAAACACTTTGCTAAAATCGCTACATTTTAATATCATGTTCACATTATCTTCCCTCATCTGAAAATCTACACAAAGGATTAAGGATGCATCTTTAACTCCGATATTAAACTAATGTGGTTGTGAAACAGAGGCCTTCAATCAGGTTAGAATACTGTGCCAACACTGGTATGCTGTAGAGATTTGTGTTACGGTCTATTCCCTAATAGCTACTTACAGCACAATCATTTCTTACTAAAGAAAAGATTTTTCTTTCGCCTGATTCTAACTTTCTGAAGTTCTTCAGCAGGCCATTTCACATCTAGAAACAGAAGATTCTGCTATTTCCATCCTATGTACTTTGACACATACATACACACACTTACAAAGCTGTTTTGGAATGAGATCTATTTGTATTTAAAAATAAATAATTCAAATTTCTGATAGAGCAGCATCATACTCATATAGTATATACGGAATATAATATAATGTTACTGACTGTACAAAAGTTTGTCAAAGAACACCAGTAGGTCATTGACAGAATCGCATGTGCAAGCTGGTGTTTCACCTGCCTGTCATAAAACTGATAAATACTCTCTGTCTTCTCAGTTATGTGCCACTGCTAAAAACTAGACTTCCTAAATATGAGATGATATCTACATCCAGCTACACCCCAGTTGCATTTATAAAAGGAGGCTTTTTCAAATCTTAGGACACTTGCAACATTCCAGTATTAAGTGCTTGCTTGGGCTTTTGTTTCAGTTTGTTTGGTTTTAATTTAATTAAACTCTCAAAACAAGCACGACGAAAGGTAATTTTCCAAAAATCTACATAGTGCAGTATAATAATCTACCTTATAGTATAATATACATTAATCTATATTAATCTAATCTATATTATAGTATAATCTACAGAGTACAGTATAATAACTGAAGATATGTGTAAGCTATTGAGGGTTCCGGGGTTTTCCCCACAAATTAGAGGAAATCTAAAACAGTGCAAAAAAGGTAAATGTCAGTTCAGTGAGAAGTAAAATGGGACTACAACTCAGAACGTAGAGCCCTATTAAAGAACATCATTATATGGAGCACCACCTCTTAAATCACAAGCTTAAGTTTCCCAAAAGCAGGAACTTCCAGTTTTCAAAGATGAAATTCATTCATAAACTACCACACTGTAGTAGAAAGTGTCTAAGCCACACAACTTTTGCCATATCCATCCAGTCCATACCCTAAACTGATTTGATACAAAGTGTATCAAAGGTGAAACCCATACAAAGTCTCAATAAGGAAGCTACAGGGTAGGAGCACTCCATTTGGAAATACTAAAATCAAAATGTTCATATGCATTACTTAAGGTAAAAAAATTGGGCAAAGAGTAAGAACTGCTCAGTTTGCCATTGGTTTAGAATGGATCGGAGTCTAGATTCATCTAGACTCTAGTGACATTTGTACAGTGTTGACCATCAAACATCTGCTCTGCAACAAGATGGTGTCTTCCAAGTCATGAAACTGCAAGTGCTGAAACCCTGTCAAAGACAATAATGCATTTCTATAATAAATGGGGAAACTGAAGAATACAATCCTGAAATTCCACGGCCTGAACGGCAACTGCAAAACCCACTGCTAAGCCATCGGAAATTTCCAACACACCATTACCACTGAAGTCCCATCGTCAGTGCTGGGAAAAAAGAACAAGGAAATTGCAACATACATACCTTTGTTTCTTCAATACTTGGGAGTGGTGAGTTCAGAAATTTTTCTGTTAGTCTTTTCCAGCTTGCGGCTTTTCCAAGGTCAGAATGAACTATCAATTTTTCATGTATTCTAATAACAAAAATAGTATCAAAAATGCTTCAAATAAAGTTAACTAATGCATTACTAATCTGTAAGCGTAAAACTTACCCTTCTATCGTCCTCTCTACTTTGTGACTGTTCACATCAAGAAAACGGTGAAATCTGTGTAAGAAATCTGCATTAGAATACGTTTAAAAAGGAAGATGAAGTAAGGAAGAAAATAAGGCTGATTTACATATATAAGGACAACATTACTAGTTTAATAATGCATCAACAAAATTTAATCTCAGTATCTCTTAGCTCAAGAAGGATTAACTACAATTGACCTTAAAAATGAAAAAGTGGAATGCAGGTTACATTTAACCAGCACTTTGAGCTTAAGGGAAAACTACTACTGTATCAGCAAACTGAGTAATTAAAACTACGTTGTCAGTTAAGTCCAGTGGAGCGAGGAGATCAAGAACTGTGTTGTCAAAGGCATCTGTGTTAAACACACAAAAATTATCTAGGACTCGCATTGCAAGCACAGGCAAAACAAACACCTACATGGGAAGGCCTCTAAACCCAAACGAAGCTCCTTTATAAATAGTAAAGGAGACCTTAGTCGAAATAAAGATAAACCACCACAAGTAGCATGTATAGGGACAAAATAGGACTCTGCAGAAGAAATCAGAATATGAATAAGGTTCTTCAGTTACAGAGGAAAAAAAAGAGGGAATTGGATGAGACAGCAATCACCAGAAGGTCAAGGTACTCTATATGTAGGCCCTCAAAGCCAACCTAATATTTTGCCTCAGCTTCCAGAAACAACTGTACAGAACACAGGACTGAAACTCTCATGACTACGGACAGAAATGAAGACTACTGGATTTTTATCAGGAGCAAAACTTAAGCTAAATAGACTGAATTTGGAAAGACAATCTGAAATCACCTCAATGTCAAAGTAATGAACTAGACAATGAAACTGCAAGGTAAGTAGCAAGGATTTTTAATAAGGATCACTGGAGGATGAAGACATGCCCATACTAAAAAAAAAAAAAAAACACCACTTTGTTAACTACAGACCCATGAGTCTTATTTCAAGTGTGTATAAGGTTTCGGAATAAAAGCACAATAAAATGTTAACATTAACTAGGCGGCTGACGTTCAGGTTAATAAAATACAGCTTATCTCATCTATTAGAGCACATTAGTTTACATAAAAAAATCATTAGTTCAAATGGAAAATGGCAGTAACTACAAGAAGATTTAGAAAAACAGAATGGAAAAACTAACCAAAAAAAAAAAAAAAAAAAAAACAAGAATCTGCACTGAAAAGAAAAATTAAGCTGGAAGGAAATTATTAGTGAAATTCCTTTGGTTTATTATTACTTACAGCTTTAATTAATGACCCTAACAGATACACACAAAAAAAGTATCAAGTTGGGAACATCATGAATAGAAGAGGACTACTGTGCTGTGTGGAAAGGAACAGATAAATCTGAGAACTGCAGCATAGAAACATCATCAAATCTAACAACGCAAACCACAAGTTTCACAAACTTGAAGCTAAAGAGAGTTTCTGCTACAGCCTAAGGTCTCACAGTTTGAAAATACAGTACTAGTCAACCTCAGGCCGAAGTTCCGCATGTTTCTTAGACAACAATTCCTCTTTCCAACCCTCCCTGTCAAAAGAGTTTGTTGCCAACTCTGCATCACTCCCTGTTTTCCCGCCATGTTGGGGTTTTTTTTTTAAAAAAAAAAAAATTGCCCAGTCCAAAAGAGCACACAGCTACACAAGCAAGTGGGTCACCGAAACAGAAACAGAAGGAGAGATATCACAAGAGGAGGTGGAAGACAGGATGTGTTTATCTGGCTCGAGAAACCCTTCTACCATTACCAATCTGCAGACTCAGAATAACAACTGTTCCAAAAAACTACTTTGATGTAGCTACAAAACCAATAAACGTAATCCTACCATGCATTACAAAAAAATATTTCTGGTAAATACAAAGAACATAGGGAGACAGCAGTTACAAATACCATATTCCTACATTCCCAATGAATACAGCTAGCCTCCTCAAAATTGAACATAGACCTGAACTTGTCAAAACACTGGCTACAGGTCATACCCAGCTCTCCCACACCTCAGACTCACCTTTGCTGTAGACCAATGGCTATTTTGTTATTAAAACAGTCTTATTTGAGGCTATCAGTAGTTAGGATTCACAGTCTGACTTGATGCAATGCAGTTATGCTATTGCTCACCCCCAAAAAATGTTATTTAAACAGCATAAAAAAATCGAAGTAGCATTGATTTCAAACGGATTAGGTACTTGCTGCATGAAGTTAAGCAAGCACATAAGACTCCAAAGAGACAGCAGTTAATGACAGTATGGGAAATTGGAACTAGATCATGTAAAAATTGGCAGCAGACACTGAAATGGTAACTGTGATAACTTGAAGAGAGCAGTGTGTAAAAATTTAGTAAGGACATTTTAGACGGCAGTGTAATGGAACTAAAGGGATATAGATAACATAGATTACAGGTTAGTAAAGACCACGTTTACGACAAGCTTAAATAACATCAAACACATTATCTTCTGCAGATTGATAACCTTTCATACAAGCAGCACAGCATCCTTGGCCAGAAGCTTTATCGCGATTTGGTGGAATTCCCTCTACTTGCTCCTTACATATAACAATTTCTTGACTTCCCTCCAACAAACTAAATTTTTGATGGCTAAATGAAGATGTTGAAAGGTACCTTTTTATGGATCAGGAGAAAAGCCCTAACAGATGGAGATTTAAAAGCGCCAGAGTAATAGCCACTGGCTCCCTGACAGGGACTCGCAAACGGCGCCAGACCCCGCGCACGGCGGGACACAGCCCTGCAGGTCCCACAGGGCACCCTCCCCGTTTCCAGGCGAGCAGACGGCAGC